AAAAAAAATATTTTGTATAATTTTTTTTTATATTTTTTTCTATATTTAATAATATATCATTTTTTAAATTATTATTATCAATAAATAAATAAATATATATAGAGAGAGAGATATATAGATATATATATATATATATATATATATATATATACATATTTGATTTTTGATAATTTTCATATATTTTTTATTTATTCAAATATATAATTGAAGCTCTATTTTCATCAAGTTTGTTTGCATGTTTATGCAATGTGGAATTACTTTCATTATGAATATTTCATGAGTTTTAATAATCTTGAAACTTTATTACTTCTTCAAATTCTAACATTTTATGTCCTCGTAAATAAATAAATAAATAAATTTATATTTATATTTATATTTATATATATTAAAAAAATATTAAGTATTCTCTACTAAGACTATATACTCTAAGGATTCTAAAATGTCATCCAATATATTTAATAAGGAAGCTTAATTATAAGATGAAGATATAAAGAAGCCTTCTTATTAGCCAAAATCAAATAATTTAAGCATAACTGGTCAAAACTATATCTTTTTTGGATCAATTATAATTTGTATTTCTTAAATCAAATTTTTCAAAAGCATTCTCAAGTTGTGTTCTTTAAATTAATTCATAGTTTAAATTAAGATTTTAAAATGATTATTTGTGGTAGATATATATATATATATATATATATATATATATATATCTAAGTTTTTTTGAAGTCAATGTTATAAATGGTTTTTAATAATATGAATTGAACTATACCTTTTCATATTCATCACCGTATTTCACTTTATTTTATCATCATTGTTGTTTCGAAAGAGGATTAATTTTCAAATTTTTAAATCAAATTCTAAAAAAGAATGTTCAATAAAATAAAACAAAACTTAATCATAAGTAAAATTATAACTATTACATTTTTTATGTGTAAATCATAAATAATTTGAAGGTGATAGCAATAATCAATTTTATTAATTTGTTTTGCAATTTTGCTAATTTATGATTCTTCACACTTAGTATTATGAAGTAGCCATCTTAATGTTTTGTCAGGTTATGATGCATTGCTTTCCCTACTTTTAATCTTATACTTATCTAAAATATCAACACAATGATTATCAGTATTATTAGTAGCGTTTTATATTAACTTATGTGTTGAAATTCGAAGTTGTAAATTGTTACATACTTTGTTACTCCTTTTGCGTAGTGGTGGGGGAAGCCTGAGTGCTCAATGCTGTACCGGGGCAACAAGCAGGGCATACGTGGGGTTCCCTGCAACAACCGTATGTAGCCACAGTACGGAGAACAGTATACATATCATTGTCGGGCACGCTGATGTGCAGGTTCTGGCTTGTCAGGCAACCGGTACACCAATCCATGCTTCTGCTCATGTTTGGATTCTGCACCGACTGGTGCTTTTGCGATGATGGCTGTGGCTATGGCTATGGCTTTTGTAACGCCTACAGCAACGATAGGTACAAAGCCTAACGGTGGCTAACTGTCTGGTCATAAAGTAGGACAAATCGAGTAGTTCCGGACTCACTTCTTCTCGCACGCATTTCTTCCTTGGAGTGCGGCAGTTGCCTGTTTGTATGCTGCACTTTTAAGACAGTTGCACAGTAAGTTTCGAACCTCAAGATTTCGCGTGGAAAATTGGTGTCTATTGTTTTAAAAATTTATTCGTCGTGGCTTAACTTTCAGATGACGACAGGCTCTACTTGCAGGTGGAGTAGAAGAATGCTTTTGGTCCTACTGTTGTGTCGTAGCTCAATGCCCTCTGCATCAGCTCCGCTTCTTCGATTTCGCTGTATTCTGTGCTGCTGACGTCTTGGTCTGCAAATGTCGTCAGAGGAACCAGGGTGTAGGGAGAAGAAGCGAGGACTAAGGCTTTTATGTCGATCGCAGTTCGGTACTACCTGTCTTCACCCACTGGTTCGTTACTCTTTTACGCCTCATAGTTTATAGAGAAATAGAGTGTAGTTTGCAGAGGTCGTTTCGGCTTCCACAGCCACACTCACTGTTGAATCTCAAGGTAGTTTTACAAGTAATTATTTTGGTTAACACGTTCACTGTGCGTCCGAAAGGATCAGGGTTTAACGATTGAATTTAATACTCTGCGTTTGTGACGCAATCGAGTGCAGCGGAGACGTCATTACTATTACCTCGATATTTTGACTGATCTCATCACAGATTTTGGTATTCAACGCAGTTCCCGAGCTAAAGTCTGGCTGGAGATTGCACATTTTCAACAGTGAGCATGGTGTGCTCCACAGGTGTACTGGAGGTGCATGCTAAGTGCTGGCCAGGTCTTTCTGCATATGTTAATTTCGTATTAATCCTTCTCGCTTAATGTCTGATAACACTTTATTGTTTTTATTATCGAGGTCCGATCATTTTTTGTGACAGGGGCTTACGGATTGTGAGGAAAATCAATCACTGGATTAAAAACTCCATGAAATCGATCCCCAAGACACATATTCAGCTCAGGAGATTATCTGATGGAAGATTGACCTTGCAATTGGAACGGCTGTCAAAGTTCTGGTCAATATTGGTGCGATCATATTAGGTTTCATCGTAGTTTTCTCTTGCTTGAAAGGTCGTTGTCTGGGCGTCCTGTCCACTTCACTCTGCAAGTTGCTCTACAGTCTCAGTCTCGCCTTCAACTTTTAAAGCGGCTTTCAGGTGTTTCAACTCAAGCAAATTTAGAGTTGTCACACCCTCGACCTACTTTTACGCAAAAATATATTAGAGTTTCTTTTTCTTTTGTCTTTTTCACCCCCCCCCTGAATACAAATAAAATCATAGTCAACTATTTCAGAAGGAATATACAGTCATGAAATTGCTTTTAGTCCTGTAGTGGATAGCCTTCTTTATGAAAGCCATGCTATTCCTTTACCCTTGCAGGTCATAGTTCACCGACACTTGCAAATGATCTTCTGCAAGCAATTATAATCTGAAGCATTCTCAATTTTCACAGTAGTGATTAGTTCACATGATCGTGAAGAATTTTTGACAAGATCTCCGGAACTAGCAGGAGCTCATTGTAATAGAGAAGCTAAGCTGCATTTATTGTAAATAGTCAACATCTCGTAATAAAAAACCCTGCAAATTCTTGAACCAAGAATTTGAAAGCATTTGAAAGGAATTGCAATAGCTATATATTGCTATTCAAAGAGAGAAAGGTGAAGGCATGTTGAAAGGAAGACTCAGTTGACTGTGTGCTATATTGAAGCGCCCAGTTCTGGAGCCTCATTACGTGCAAGTGCAGATGCACTATTTGCCGCTATGGTGTGATGGTGGTCCCCAACTGAAACGGCGTGTTACACGCATGGAATCAGCTATTTATTGTGATCATGTGCAGGCTGTAAAGTTGAATTGTGAGGAACTGTCATTATCGTAAGCTTTACAACGCAACAAGGATTTTACCGAGCTCCCTACACCAACATTATTTGCATGTTCAAGGCATTTATAGTCATGTGCCTTCGTCATATTACAGTGTTTTTTGTGTAGTGAAGTGCCTCGATTTTTGCTCAGCAACAAGGAACCTATTGATAGCATGAATTAGGCGTCTATAGAGAATTCTCTTAGCATGGTCAATTGGTCAAAAACATTGAGTTTATAAAGAAAGTGCCAATAAGGTTTCAATGCGATCGGTTTAATTGAATTGGACCAGAGATAGTTGATGATTTGCCTTCGATTGCTCACTCGTCGATTGGAAGTTCCTCTAAATGGTTTTTCACGAAGATATTCAATCTTAGAATGAGAAGCAGAGAATTGTAGAGATGAAATTTCAGTCCTCGAAACGGCTTTTAAGGGAGCGGAATAAATGATCATCACATCAAATTGTGTTCGTGATGCCATCCTCAGAATTCTTTCATCTCAGAAACAGTATTCTGATGTAACAGTGGAATGAGTGGACTCCACATGCAAGATATACTGTGCCTTGGCTCTCGACATGCAGACCTTGTGTCGACGCTCATCTGAAACAAAACGATTTTTCAACAGGATTTGATCCAGTTAACAGGGTGACAAGGTGTGAGGCGTTGTTTGAAAAATCTAGCTCAACTGTCGACGATGGCAGAAGTAGGCTCGAGATTACGGTACCGGAGACCGTTGGCACCAAAACCAGTAGCTCTATGGGAATCGGCAATCCTTCTCACTTACGTCCTAGAAATGCTTGCAATATTAACCCTTTCACATACCCTGCATTCAACCAAACCTACACCCATATACTGCGACAGCAACATCTGCAAATTATTCGGTAAGTTGAACGGGATACTTGCCTTCTACTAAATTTGATCTGCTTTTCGTGGTACGTGGAAAGATTTTTGCTCGAATCCATACATACTGCACGATCTTCACCCTGGTCTTTCAATCGTTAACTGAAGTAACATGATAACATAGTCGAGGTACTACAAAGTACGTAATGAAACAGCGATAATTCTTTGAAGCTGGACCAAATGTTTTTGAAAATCACTGCAGTCGTCGCATCGAATCCTGAAAGATCCGCTCGAAGCAGACCTTCACTAAGCAATTTCCGCGCTCCCAAGAGAAAATTTCATGACAAATATGCCCTTTACATCCTGAGTGGGCTTTGGACCATTCACTGAGTACACACAATTTGGACAAATGAATGCGGTCAAAGGACTCATCGCAGTGATACTTCACAGTCCTCACCTGGGAGAGTGTATGGATTACTTTGCAGCGCGTCCAGACTGACAAAGCCGTTAAACATGTAAACTCTGCTTAACACCAGAAGTCAGGCAGCACGTTCCGAACCTCGTTCTGGTAGCTAGAATCACAGCTTTGCGACTAAAAGGGAAAAGCCGAACGCTGACCGGTAATAATAAAGAGAAAACTTAAAAGCAGCGTACCAGCTGACATTGTGCAAAGATTTAACCATCATGACGTGGTAGTACCACATTGTGACCAGAGACTTCGATACTAAATGCCAACTGAATGCAACGAAGAGATTAGGGCATCTTCATCTGTTGAGTAGAACTGATCCGTTAAAGAAAGTGAACTTCACAGCATTATAGCTTTTTGACTAAGGAGCCTCGGTTACACAAAAGTCAAGGAAATGGTCAGACTTGCAACAGTGCAAGAATGAGCCAAGACCGACAGCCTGCTAACTATACAATGATATACAACGTATCACCTACAGCAGCATCTTATGTTGAACTAAATTACAATTACACGGTTCGTTTCCGCACTATATATTTGAAGACTGGACCAACAACTTCCAACTACTAGGCTAAAGCTTCTCAACTGCAAACACACATAATGTTCATACAATGTATCTACGGTACAGGTACATGATCAGAAATGAAGGAAACAAGATCCTGACTAAACGCCCTCGTTACCCTTACACAGCTCAAGGGCACACATGATTTCCATCGCCACCCATGCTACCAGCTTCACCAAGGTCATGCCCCACCTAAAAAGCTAAAGAAATTCCAAATACTTGAAACTATTGATCCTACTCTAGAGGAAGCTATGCCAGACGCAGTACCAGCTACGAAGCCAACTCCACTAAAGAACCAGACAGTCTTCACCATCCCCTCCAAGAAAACCACCCACCACAACAAGCTGCAGATCACCGAACTCAGCGGATTTGAGAAATTCGAAACCCGAACCAGTATCAAATATAACCGAGCAGCCGCTGCCCCGACATCCCTAACGTAACGATCATATAGTGCTCTTCGAACTTCAGACTACATTAAATCAACTGCAACCGAACGCTTGAAATGAGCAGTGCCAAGAGCGACAAAATGAAAACATCAGGCTGCACCCAACGACATCGAACCATGAAACGAAACAATGCTGGCTTGTATCCTACTTGTCAGCACTGCCAACAGAAGAAGAGATCGCTCTTCCGAGCAGTACATTCATGCTGGTAACCTACGGGCGCACGGAAATCTTGCTGCTGTATAAATCTTGGGGTCTCTGGAATGTCCACAGCACCCGCACTTTTCTATCTTCATTCACAACCGCACCAACCATGACGCAGCAATCCCGCTATCGTAAAACACGCGCCAGCATCACGCCTGCCTTCTGTAGACTTCTCTAGTCTCTGCATTTTGCATGGTTTGCATAATCAATGTCTAGTCCAGCAACCCACTCCATGTCGCCGCTCCTCACGGTCCCTGCCTCAGGCTACCGTTCGCTGCTCTGCACGCCACCAACCCACCTCTCAGCACGTTCCTTCAACCCAATCACAACCCTCCCCATCTGCCACCCAACACCACAAAACCCCCACCCGCCTTCCGCCACCATACCTTCCAGAAAGAGAAAGCCGCTGTGAACTATTTACAGGTTCCTTCATCATGCTCAGCCGCCTCATTCTCCGTTCCTGATCCTTGTCCACCCTCATCGATGCCACCTCTTTCTCCATCACTGTCACTTCTCGCCGCATCTTCTTCGCCTCCACCTCCATCGCTTTCCCCAGCGTGTCCACCTTCTTCGACAGCATCTGCATCCCACAAATGCCACCGTCAGCACCGCATCCATCCACGCCCACCTCCACTCTCCCCTCCTGCTCTGCCCCTGTTCCCCGCCATTCCCAAACTACCGCACCTCTATCGCATTGTCCTTGTCCTTCAGGCTTTGGTCCTTCTCCTGCGAAGCTCTTCTCAGCGATATCACTTCCTTCTGCAACATATCGTACAGCACCCCCGACACCGTGTCGCCCGCTCCTTCTCCCGCATCCCCTGCTGCACCGCTGCGTCCCACTCCTCCTGCACCACCGCATTCCGCTGCCGCCTTGCCTTCCCCTCCCTCCTCCTTCGCGCCCTCGCTACCCTCCTCGCCCTGCGCGCTCGCGCCTTCGGGACTTGCACCCGCTTCGCCGCTGCAGCTCCTGCTCTCCGTCTTTATCCCTGCCCGCAGCTCCTCAAACCCGTTCGTGAATGGCTTCAGCGCCGCCATACCCCCCGCGTCGTACGAGCCCCCGCTGCTACTCCGACCCCCGCCACCACCATCGAAAGACTTCGACGTCAACCGCCCGTTCTTCACCAACGGCCCACCCATCGCCCTCAGCTGGCTTACCGCAGACCGCCGAGCTCGGGAACCGTTCGCAAGCACTTTTGCTCCTTCTTCGCTCCCGCTCCCCTTCCGCACGCTTCCGTTGCTCGTCACGCTCGAGCTTCGCTTTGCTTCCACCGTCCCACCCGCACCCGCACCACGCCGCACCGTCCCGTTCCCGGACTTCAACCCCTCCTCCAGCACCTTCAGCCGGAGCTGCACCTTCTCCTGCACCTCACCCCCAACACCCGCCGTTACCATCCCATTCTCCACCCTCACCCTCACCATCCTCACCTCTCCAACTGCAACTGCTACCACACACCCACATCATCCGCACCTTCAGCTGCGCTTCGCTCTTGCACGTTCTCTCCGCCGACGCCAGCTTCTCGCGCAGTTGCTGCATCTCACCCTGTCCCCACACATACACCCACTCCGTCACCTTCCCACACACCACCACTTCTCCACGCACATTTCTATCTCAACAACACCTCATTCACTTCCCACCCCCTACCACCCATCCACCCACCCTGCTTCCCACACCATCATCTGCATCTCCTACCCAAACCTCCCCCTTCCCCACAACATAACACCGACTCACCCCACACCCCCGACTCCCACCCACCACCATTCACCCCACGCTACTGCTTCACCCCACTACCTGCAAAAACCGCCGCTCTTCCAGCCACTGCTTCACCGGCATCACTTTCTCGCTTTCGTCTTTCCAGTCGTTCGCAACCACCGTAGCCACTCTGTTCGCACTGATCTTCGCTCGTGCCAGTTCACGCTCCAACGTCCGCTTTATTTCCTGCCACACCAACCATGTTATTCCGCTGCCACACGCTCCCTTCCAAACTACTCACCGCCACCTCCGCTCCACCTCCCTCTCCTCACACTCCATACCCACCCACACCCAAACACTCACGCCTGCCATCCGCTCGTCTCACACCTCATCCCATGTTACCCTCACTGCTTCTTCATTTGCACCCACCCCTCCTGTACACTGGACCTAACCACGCTCCACCTCGCTATACTCCACCGTCCATGCACCACGCCTTCGCAAACCCTCGCATCCTCCAAATCTACCTCCCACCCATTACTCTGCGACTCCACTCGTCAACACCCCTAACATACACTTTTGCACTCCACCCCACATCCACGCAAACACACACAACCCCTTCCTTCGCCTCCTCACCATCAATTCATGCACTTGCCGCTGGTAGTCCCGAGCAGCGTTCACCGCAGCCCCTCCAGCTAGAACCGCCTCCTCCAGATCGCGAACCGTTGCGCTCAGCTTCTCCACCTCGTTCACTTTGCTCCTGTGCATCTTATCCAGGATTTTGTTCTCTTCCTGCCAACACCCCGACTCTTAGATTCACGCCTCTCACCTCGGCCCCCGCCCAACACTTTCCGGACAAACTATCCACATGCACATCACATGTGTGCGACTCTGCCACAATACCAACCTTCCATGCACCAACCAATACGTGCATCGACCCCGCTCACGCCCACGTACCTGGCAGATCTCGATCTGCTTCAGCAGCTCTTGGTTCCGGTTCTGCAAATCGTCCACCATAGAGGCCTTAGCCTCGGCTGCTTTGATCACCCTTTCGGACTCGATAAGGGCCGCCTCCTTCGACTTCGTCAACCGGTCCAGAGCTCTGTTCGTTTCTTGTAGCTTTGAAATCTGCAACGTCACAACCACCACAGCACTATCACCTTCCGCTGCACACAGATACATGACAGAGTTTGGACTAGATTCAGGAGTGCTACCCGTTGTAAACTAGGTGACAGCTGATAGGGGATGAATTTTTTAAGAATGTTAGGCCCAGATTTGCAACCGCGCGAAGTGCAACGGAGTTAACAATGTTATTCTTATTTTAATTTCGGTAATGTAATTTTTCCTGAGACGTTGTTTCGTATTTTGAGGATGCGTGGAGCAACAGTAGATAAGGTGAGATCTAAGCTTTGGGCGTGTTTTTGACAACCTAGTACTTGTTTTTGGACCGCTACAGAGGAGCATTCGACGAACCCAGTTTGGGGTAGGGATAAGATATTGGAAGAAAGTTTTTCAGACATGCCTCTTGACGTGCGATTTTCAACTCAGCCTCCAAGGGAGCCAAGATAACCTCCAGCGAAGGCATGTCGTTGTCTTTCTGTGATGCGTGTACCCTTCGGAGAGTTGCCTCTGCAGCAGTCTGAGCGGCCAAGGCTGCTTTCCTTTCATCATTCAGTTTCTTCATCTCTAGATTCTGCCAATCACAGGACACTTATGACCATTAATTGCGAACACACAAATAAAAGTTCAAAGGATTATAAAAATGAAATAAAGCAGCGAGAAGAGTACCTTGTTGTCAAGAAGAATCAAGGTGCCTTTCAATTTCTCGTCCACTTTCTCTAGCTTATCAGAGAGCTGGACATGACAGTCATACAAAATCAGTTTTTTTTTACAGAGGTAAACTCTCTTGGAGAATTCAAGATTTGACAATTATCTTGGCACTCGTATCATTAGCAGGCGGTCAAACAAGCCCACCCAAGTGACAATCTAAGAACATGACATTTCACAATACTCTGTAAAAGCGTCGACACAACCAACTGAATATGTACCTCATCCACTGCTTTTTGTTTCTGACGGTCCGATAGTCGGAGAGATTTGATCTCTGCTTGGGCTTCCGCCAATACGCGACTTTTATCTAATGAAATGACACCAAGGTTATTTCGATTGTGTTTCCAGGAACTCCACCTTCCCCAGAAAAAGAAAAGGAAAACCAAAAAAAACACTGAGCAATTCATCACCGGGCTATAATTACAAGATCTCCAAATATTACCCCGATCGCGGAGTTGGGCGGGTTCGTTCAGTAAGATTACTACGACAGATCTAGTACAATTTAGGAGGTTAAAACTTATTAGACAGGGAGATGAGGATGTGATAAGGAGAACAATCTCTCCACATGCATAGCCCTCCGTGCAACAAGCTATTCGAGAAAGACAACGTTTAAATTTCCTATCTCGTGAAGGAGGGTCGACCTACAATGGCTGTACTGTTCTCATCCGATGACCTAAGGTCAGCCTGCATATGGTCGAGTACCCAGCATATTCTGGCACGCTGCCGAGGACTCGATAGCATTAGTCTAGATACCTTACCCCTTACTTCGTTTTCAAGGCGCGTCAGCTCCAATCGTACTGGATCCGAACCATTAAAATGGTTCATCAAATCCCCACTGGCATAAACTGGCCGAGTGCTTCTGCGTCTAGGCTTCTCGTCCGTCTTCGGCACGGTAGGAGAATGAGACGGAACGATAGGAGAGTGATACGCATTCGAGTAGTCAAGACTCTGTCTCCTTTCACCATGCGAGCTACTGCGCCCATCGAGGGAGTTGTCGTCGTCATCTACGCTACTACTCATCGAATCCATCATTGCCCTTCCCACCAACTTCCTGGGCACCCTAGAAGTCATGTTTTTTCACCCTCACTGCCTCTGGCCCCAAATTCCACCTGCTCACACCTCACAGCATTGGACGCAGCCGAGGCGGACACGGCTGCGCCTGCAAACACCCCAACCGTACGCCGAAGCACAAAACTTCATCGTCATCCCGCTCTATCCTGTTTCCCCTACACTTCGAGCATTGGCATGCCGCTCCTCAAATAACTCCTTTTTTTCCTAAACTTGCTTATCTTGGTTCATCAGAACTTGCACAAACTCCCTCCCGACACCCAACCAACCAACCAGCACGGATAGATTAATGCCCTTCCTCCCTGGCCAGCTATACCCTCCGATGCGCCTCCCATCTGCCCCTAACCCTCGCTTTCGTTCGCAAATACTCTCATCAGCTCAGCTCCGACCTCCTTCTGAGTCAGCGTCGAGATGCGAATCAAATGCCCACCAGAAGCAACCCTACACCTAGCTACCACCCAAGCAAAAGCGATCTCCAATGCAACTTATCTGCCACAAAGCGCCATTTCAGATGCAACTTGGGAAACGACAAACATAACATCATACCCACATCACCATGGATGCAACACCACCCTAGTCCCCCCTCCCTCCCACGTCATACCCCATCTCCAGACCCCAACACCCTACAAGACCACCACCGCAACAGCCCGCAAACCCAAACCACGATCGGAACCAACTACGCCCCTCGAGGGCGTAAGCAGACTGTGGGTGGTCTCCGAGCGTCTCTTTCAGTCACTAACGAAGCCAGAAGTAGGGTGATGAAAGGTGTGATAAGCGATGGGTAGGCCGCGTCGAAGCGCTCAACCCCCAAGTCCTACAACAACAGCAAGCCCCTCTCTCTCTCGCTCCCCCTTGTGCTCTATCTCTCTCTCGCTCCCTCTCTCTCTCTCAGTGTTCAGGCTGTAGGCAGGCGAGTTATAGCAGAGGAAGCGACCGCGATGCGCACGAGGACATGGGGCGGGGGGGGGGGGGGGGGATTACAGGCTCGGGAGAGTGAGTGAGTGAGAGTGCGAGTGCGTGCATGAGCCTGGGCTGATGGAGGAGTGTGAGAGTGAGTTAGGGAGGCGCCGTGGCAGCGAGCGTTTGGAAGCTAGCTGGCTACTACTGTAGCTACCAGGTTCACGCTAAGGCTAGGCTAAGCTAAGGCAAAGCCAAGGTAGCAGCAGAGAGTGCCGTGCCGTGCCGGGCATCAGCAGCACCAGCAGCACCAGTAATGGCAGAGCACGCGCACCACCCTTCGGGTACCCAGAGCTGGGGAATGGTGTGTCTGTCTCTACGCTCTGATTACGTAATTGCATTGTGTGTTTGTTTTCTGTAGGTGCGTAAATCTCCCATTTCCTCTCTACAATAAAGAATTTATGAATTGCCTACCTTTAAATTAGTTGTTTACCCAGGAGTGATATATTTTTTGAATTAACATAAAAATATATAAAAATATATAAAAATGTACGTTTTAAACTAAGTTTTTTAAAAAAAAATAGTTTATTTTATGAAACTTTAACATTGAAATAAAGAACAGAAAAATACCAAAAATACTGAAAACACAAATGAATTCATACATACTATTGGTATTAATGTTTGATAATAATAATAATAATAATAAAATATTCATTTTTAAGGTACCACAGATAAAATTATATACTTATATATATACACATATCAAAACGCTTCAGTACAAAATTATTAAAAATAAAATTTGTGAATACTCCATTTAAAGATATTACTGTAAAAACCTCTAAGAATTGTATACTCTTGTATTGGCTAAAGATGTTACGATTTTTCTACGTCATACCATTTTAGCTCTAGCAAAATAACAAAATTAACAGATGAAAAATATTAGTGGCTGCAAATGTAAGTTTTGTAAGACAATTCATAAAATCTTATGATACATGTATGAAATATGAAAGTATTAAGACATTAGAATTTTTTTTTTTTTTTTAAATTACGAATTTAGATTTATAAAATTTGTGAGGTTAGCTTGCAAACATAACATATATTTATTGATATGTGTATATGTATATGTATATATATATATATATATAATTTATTCTAGTGTTTTCTATCAATAAACAGGCCTACTTCATATCAAAGATATTAGAAGTTTAGTTACTAATGATTCAAGTAATTATTTTGGAATTATGCAATAATTTTTTTGTTGATAAATATAATATTTAAATAATAAGAGACAAAAAGGAAGTTAAAGTACAATATTTATTCAACAATAATATATCTTTTATAAAAAAATGGTTTAATATATTTGCATATATATATATATATATATATAAATCCATGAATATATTTGTGTGTCACTTCATTTCTTTCTTTTTTTCTTTCTTTTTTTTTCTTTTTTTAAAAGAATTCAAAATTTTATTTCTTTTTGATGGAATTTAACGAAGATTAAACTAATGCTGGCTTTAAAAAGTCAAATACGAAGAGTATTTGACTTTGCAAAGTCTGATAAATGAATGCGAAGTCGGAATGATGACGGGACTAGGAGAGTTAGCAGAGGAAGAAGAAGTGGACGAGTGCTGACAGAGATCAGGAACCTCGAGGAGCGCCACATCTTAACAATGTGCAGCGATTACCATGAAACTAGATCACAAGTGACAGACAAAAACTGTAGCTAAATCGACAGTGAAATTGAAGAGAACTGAGAAGCTTTTTTAACGATTTGATACACAACGACACTGGCTTAGTTTAAATCAGGGGTAGAGCTTCGAACCTGCCTCAGTCAATTATACCATTCCTCGACGCATTCCCATTGTTGAGCCATGAGCATCCTCCTCCAGAACTAAGGCGATAGATCAGAAGGCGTAGCGCAGGTGCTGTAGATTTGTGCATCGGCGTCTATGAATCTATCGCTGATTGAAGAAAAGGACGATGCGAATTCCCCCTTCAGCAACGTGGGCACTCCACTTCTGCAAGCCTTTCACAAAACTCTTGGCTGTACATCTGCGAAATTTGAACTACCCCCATCGATTTCATGGCAACCGCGGCGCCCTTGAACCCGCCACTGGGAAGCGGATGAATGAGATCACCCAGAGGATGGACGACTTTCGTCAAATCTTGAACAACTGCACCATTCCAAATAACAAAGCATGTTGGTTTTGATATTTTATTATATGAATGTAATAATATTATTGTGTTGAGTTAATAAAAATGATAATAGATTTCACATTGTAAAGATCTGTTTAGTCACACGTAATTAATATGTAGACATCATTTGTACTTTTTTTTACAAGCAAGGATTATATGTATGTGTATACACATACACATGTACATATGCTTATGAATAAATCTATTTGATTCAAACAAAGACATGTTTGACAGAGTTTCGAACATAATAAAAGACTATAAAGAAGTTCATAAACAAACCTTAGAATTAGCCACAAGTATACATAACGGTTACATAATTTTTTTATGAAGTTCAAATAAGAAAAAATAAAATTTATATCAAAATTTTCTTATGTTGAAGATTTTTCTAACATAGGAGTAAATTTATAATTTTTAAATTTAGAAAATTTATTGTATTATCTAATTATTTTTTATAAATTTATTGTACTAATAAAATTATAAATTATAAAATTAAATATATATAAAAATTAAATTTATTAATAAATTATAAATTTAAAATAAATTAAACTTGCTATACTAATAAATTACGAAATTAAATATAAAATTTTAATTTTAAATTTAGAAATTTTATTGTATTATCTAATTACATATTTAGAAATTTTATAATTTTATAGGAATATATTTAATTATTATATATATATATATATATATATATATATATATATATAACATATTGATTAACTTTTTATTGTATTTTGGTGGTTCAATTATGTCATGTGCAATTATATGATTGAGTTTGATAGTAAATTTATTTAATTGGAATTATATTAGATAACTTGTATAGTTGCACATGATATTCTTGTTGAGATTTTTCCAAGTTGTAATATGGATCTATAGGCAATATGTGCTATATACTTCTGTTTGTTCTTATTTCAGATTAATTGATTTATTTAATTAATAAAATAAAATAAAAATATATAAAATCTTTGTGACATATTATTTTGTGATTCTAGGAAAAATTTAAAAAACCATTAAAAAATACAATTTTAAATAAAAAGGTAAGACAATGGATAATTTGGTTTTACTAGAAGATATATTTCTTATCTCTTAATTTTTTCTAGAAGATATCTTTCTTATCTCTTAATCTTTTTTTTTATTTCCTATTTGTAGAGTTTTTTTTGAGTTTTTTAGAAATCTGTTTTGATCTTTTCAAAGAGTATAAATTATATAAGTTATTGAGTATTTTATTTAATAATTGAAATTATTAAAAAACTTCCAAATTATTTTTTCTGAGAGGCTGTAAATTATATTCTTTAAAAATATATTATTTTTAAATTTTTTTGAAATAAATTAAATTAATTAATAAAAATTAATAAAAATTATTTTTTCTTTCTTATAATTGAATCTTCAATCAAGATTTGCATCCATACAAAGTAATCATTAGTTTATTGAATCAAAGAAACTTAAGTGAATTATTGCAATTCTAAATAACTTATAGTGACAAAAGATTTTCACAAAGTCCAACTATATGGTAATGACTACAAAATCTTAAAGATGTTTTGAACAAGTCAAAATAATAATTACAAGATTTGTAAGTAAGAAAAAGAAGAGAATATAAAAGGCCATAAAAATATTTTTGGAAAAATTGTTGAAAACTAACAAAGTAAGTATAAATTATTATATAATTTTTATTTTGGATTAATTAGAAACATTTAAGATTTATTAAGTAGAATCAATTATTTTAAAGATTGAATCTTTAAGCTATTCTATTAAATTCTTTTGAGTGAAACTTATAGGCACTTTTTTTTTATTAGCATTATCTTGGTTCAATTTGTGTCATTGTTATAGATGTATTTCTAAAACAATAGTCAATATTAAAGCAGTTAGGATGAAATTGATAAAAATATTTAACATTTTGGCAAAACTAAATGTATATATATATATATATATATATATATATATATATATGTATGTATAAAACTTAAAATTATAATAAAGATTACATTTTCCTTTCATTCTTACAACTAAAAGAGACAATATATATATATATATATATATATATATATATGTACAAATGTAGTATTTATGTGTATATATTCCCTTTTTCTCTAAAACTTTATGTATATTTATATGTATATTTTACATTCTACTTTCATTTATACTACTAGAAGACTCTCAACTATTATATGGACCAATTTATAACTTTTTCCAAAATAAACTTATTTTTTTAAAAGACTGTACTGATGAAAATATTGTAAAGAAATTTATTCAACATTCAAAATCTACTACAAGTGTGCAAATCTTTTTTGTAAAGAAAAGAAATAGATTCTTACAAATGTGTAGAAATTGTGATGATTTTATTAAATTTATTATCAAAACTTGTGATATTTTGACTTAAATACTAACACTTTTTGATAAACATTGTAAGGTTAAGATCTACATTAAGATAGATTTATAAAAAGCTTATAATTTGATATATATTAAAAAAAGGGATGAATTGAACACTATATTTTAAATTAGATTTGAATATTTTAAATATAATATTATATCTTTTAGACTAACAAATGTACCAACTACTTTCTAATCTTTGATAAACAATGTATTTCATAAATTAATAGATTGTTCTATTGTAAATTTATTGGATAATATTCTTATTTATTTTTATAATATAAAAAATGTAATCAACATGTATGTCTTATTTTGCATAAACTTAGAAGTATGAGACTATATGTCTAGATAATAAATCAAATATTTTACACAATTCAAGTGGAATTTTTGAAATATATTATTTCAAATATTATTTTGCAATTAGATTTTTAAAAAGTACAAACTATCAAATTTTGCTACTTTTTTAATAAAATTAATCTAAAAAGATAAATTAAAATAGAAT